CCCCTTCTCACCTGTAGTACCCCGCCACAAGACCCTTCCTTCGCATGCCCGCCAACACCGTCCAGTAGGTGACGCTGCTGCTGGTGGCCGTTTGCACCTGTATTTTAACCAGGGAGGCCGGGCAGGTGATGATGCTGATCGCTGCCCCCCCCACCGCGCCCGCAATGAAGAAGTCAGGGAGGACGTTGGGGCCGTGATAGGACGCCGAACCCTCCTCTCGTTCCTCCAGCCCTCGGCTCTGCCTTCCTGCCTGTCGCTTTTGCTCCTCCCGTCCCACTCGGAGGTAGCGCAACGTGTTGTCGTACACTCCAAAATTTAAAGTTTGAACTAAGCCGGTGCTGAGCAAGGGCGGCAAGACGCCCCGAAAAAGCTGTCGCACGATCCGCACGGGGTTCCGCCCGGTATTTTCGTCCAGAAGGGCCACGCGAGACCCTGAGCCGTACACCTGCATTTTCACCTTGAGGGTGTCCAAGGGGTAGCCCGTCAAGACTCCGATGATCCCGGCCACCAGGCCCGAGGCAAAGCCAAGGAAGCCTTCCCTTGTATTCCCAAGGCTCGTGGTCATGCAGAGAGGGTCTTCCATGGGGCCCCGCTCCTCCACAGCATCCGTCTCTCCTCGTCTTTCCAACATCTGTGAGGTTGCGCGGCCTGCTACGGACTGGGAGGGGGAGTCATCACAACGGGCGAAAGTCAGGTTCTATCCGACTTTTTTTTATTCCGTGTTCAACGAGGCAATTTTCCATCCACCACGCCACGGTTGACCTCAAATCGCGAGCATCATCCTTTTTCCAGCTCTGGCAAAAAAAAACCCATTCTATTTCGCTGACACGTGCTGTCGATCTGCATATGCTCTACCCATCGGAGCCGAGCCCGAGGCTGACAAGAAATGTAAGAAAAACAATTCCGCTCGAACTCCCCACGGAAGCGTAGCACACAAAAGACGCCTTCCATGTGCTATCGAATCCCTCTCTCATACTATATCAAGCGCAGGGCCTTGTCTCATGGGTTACATACCGTGTTGTGAAAGGGGGAGTCCTTGCTGGCGCCTTGCCCCCCCCCGTCTGCGACGGTTGAGCTCATGGCAAAGTCCCTGAGCGCCAAGATGGAGCTGTAGCCATAAATGAAAGGGCCCTGTTCGTGTCCGTTATAACATGCATTGAGTCCCTGAGAAAGTTTTTTTGGGGGGGAGGCAGCTAAAAAACGGTAGATGGGTTGAAAAAGTGTGACGTGTGTAGGGCGCAACCGAGACGGCAGCTTAAGCGAAGCCAGCGACATGGCGAAAAAGACGCGAAACAGGAACACACGGCTTCTGGTGTCCCCACACGGCAATGTAGGTCAAATTGACAAGCTGACATTCCCTACTTCGAATCATTACTTCGTAAACAGGGGTGAATCACAGGACCACGGCATGGCAGGTATTTCCTCGATATGTCCGTAGTTAGACGCCGACCGATACACGAGTTTTCCAGCCACCGTGCCGGTCGCCGTGCCGTACAAGGCGTAAGTTGGCATTGCAAAGTTGCCCTGCCTGTATCAGGTGACCCCACACACGCATCGGTGTCGACATGATCAATTTTCAATCAGGTGGAGGGGCAGTTGCATTCAAAGCTCCCCCTGTGGTGGCGGCAATCGTCACTCCAGCTCATCGCAAGCCACGAACCCGAAACCCCCCGAAGACAACTGTGATGAATCGACTACCTCGTCCTGCCCTCTCCCAGCTTCACCCTTCGCATCCACTCCGTAAAGAGGTGTTTAAGGTTTACAAATGGATGGGAAATTTCCTAGAGTCGCTTCGGCCATTGGACTTAGCGGAGAGCACCGTGGCGAGTTACTTCAAAGCCCTGGCTCTTTTGTTGGGTTACCGCGACCGAGAGCAGGGCAAGAGCCGCCGGTACGCGCCTATGGGAGAGGAAGAGGCAGCTACGGAGGAGAAAATGAGCCTGAAAGACGACGCCCCTGTCACCCTGACGGACATAGGGGACGTGAGGAAATTCTCGGACGCGGTCGCCGAGCTGCGGGAGTACATACAACAGCGGCGCGATGCCCGCGGCCTAAGGTCCGACTACGCAGGCAAGAGGTACACTCCTGTGTGCAAGCACTTGGCATCGTTTCTGGCGGCGACGCAAAGGAAGCTGATCGCCGAGGCGGCCGAGCTCCCCGGGCATGGTGTGGGGGAGGTTCGGGGCTCTCTCCGGCGGGAGCAGGGCGAGCACAGCCATGAGAGGCGTGCTGGCACGGTCATTACGCGTCATCAAAGCAGCAAAGATCGTGGTGGAAACGGAAATGCGCGTGAAGATGAGGCCGGGAGCGGAGGGTCCCAGGGGGAGGGTGGCCAGGGAGAGAAGGAGAGTGAGAGAAAGAGACAGTGTGTGGCCTCCACCGTCGGAAACAGGAGGGAGGAACATGGGGAGGAAGAGATGGAGAGCTTGAAGTCGAATGCTCTAATCGAAGTGGGACAGATTTGGGATAGGCGGAGAGCTGGGGAGGGCGAGGGCGTGGGAGGTGGCGAGGTCAAGGCAGAGGGAGGGAAGGAGGCAGGGACGGAGGGGACGGAGGCACGGGAAGACCGAGAACTGAAGCGACTGAGGGAGGCGCTGGCTCAGAGCACTCAGCAAAAGAAAGCCCTGGAAAAACGCGTGGAAAAAATGTCGCGAAAGCTGGATCGACGGACAAAAAAGATACGGCGATTGAAGGAGGAGAAGGCGAGCGTCAAGGCAGCCCTGGACCAGGCACAGGCTCGGCTCGAGGGGGAGCGGCAAGAGCGAATGCGGAAGATGGAGGAAGAGCTGGAATTCTTGCGACGAGGACAGGACAGGCAGCAGGGAGGGGGGGGCACGCCCAATCCGGCGTCGTCTTCTGTTTCCGCGCCGCTTCCCGCTCTTCCGCCCAAAGCGACCGCCTTTACTCCAACCCCTTGTTCTCCTTCCCTTGTTTCCCGCCTCTCCTCCGTCCCCTTCGCCGATTCTTCCCCTCGCTCGCCCTCTCCTGGCTTGTGCTGCCTCCATCCTCGCACCGCCACGGCCTCATCCAGTGGCTCAATGGAATGCTTACAGCAGACTCAGCGCTCCGACGGCAACGAGTGATCTCCTCCCAAGCAATTATTGGTCTCTCAATTGGCGTTCCGTGAGTGAGTCAAGCCACCTTGCCAGCGACAGACTACGGGTGTCAGAATCCTGGAGTTGCAGCACACAGGCACGCGCCATTCGCATGATCCTTGTCCTCGTATTCGCCGGTGCCTCTCGCCTTATCTCCCGGAAAACGAACATGGAAGCCACTGGCATAAATCAATTTGCGTTGTTTCGAGGCAGCTAAGGATTAATAAGCCGCTCGGCCAAGCGCTCCCGAGTCATGAGAAGCCCCCCTTGGGGACGAGATTTGAGGGGAAAGAGGAAGCGCACAAAAAGCAACAAGGTACACCGAAGGACCGCGTTGCAAACCAGATGGTGTAGGAGGAGATAGACTTAGTTAGTGGGTGAGAATGTTTGGCGTCTAGTGGATGTAAACTCAAGGTAATGGGTCTTATTTGAATGCTTCGGCGCGAGAGACTATATGTAGAGACGGCGAAATTTAAAACCGAAACTTTAATTCTTTTACATATGTCACTTTTTTTGTTAATTCGGTTAAACTTATTGCACCCTTTCTTCTTGCCACTCTTACATCTGGATACTATTTTTTTAGGTTTAAAACATTCCACCTCTTTTTGAATTCACGTTATCTGCGCAAATCTGCTTATCTCTACACTTCTTACAAATAAACACGTGAGCGGCACCAAAAAAGTATCAAAAGAATTTTAAATTATTGTTGGTCCCACTCAAGAATTTCTTCAGCTATCTTGGGCTCATTATCTTTAGTCTGGACCATTATGTGGAGAATGTGACGTGTCTTCAAGCACGACGAATGGTAAAGAGCAAGTCGCACTTCAAGTTATGAAGGCCAGTCAGTGCCATCCCATCAATTATTTACACTCATGCATTGGAAGGGAGAAAATGAATGCCTTTTTAATTTATTAAAGGGCAAGCTTGGAAAATTTTCGGATTGGTAACGGGTCGTCGATTCAACGGTTCGTCCTCGCTAAAAAGTCGAGGAATTCAAAAATTCCCGCGGCCACACGTAGCCGCCATGCCCTCCCATTTTCTTGTCTTTCTCGACGTACAAGAATGGATATGGCGATTGTGAGCGAGTATACATCTTGATTGCGCTTTTTAAGACCCGATACCTCTTACCTTGGGTTTATCTCATATATATCTTCAGGAAAACTTCACACCCATGGCTTCCCGTCTGGTCCATGTCTCTCTGGCCCTTGGTACAACACTCCTCATCCTCTGCCTTAGTATGACCATGGTCGGCGCTCTGAAGGACACTGTGAAAAATCGTATGAAGCTGGCCGATCAATACATCTTTGAGAATCCCGTGGAAGAGAATATGGAGGGGATGGCACGGTACGTCCCAGAGTGTTTTTGTTCGCATTCAAATCGGCTATTTCAGCTAAAGGCATATTTCATGGAAGGAAAGGCTTCGTGTTGTACGTTGATCTTGGCACTTTGGCATTAGTCTGTAGGATGGCAGAAAGGCATATATCACGAAGAGAAATAACCCGCAAGTTTTGCACTGCCCTTTCCAACCGGTCCATTGACCCATTGCATTACACCTCCATCTGGAGGGTTAATCGTCATCCCTGGCCATTCACTCGAAATTTTCTCTCTTTTCATCCTCCTACCATGCAGTCAACACATGCTCAAGATGCCAGATCCTAAGGAGCGTGAGCAGCTAATGCGCAATTTGGAAACGTTGGACATGGACCATGTCCGACGGATTACGCGCCACGCCATGGTCAAGCACTTCACGACGGAGGAGTTGGAGTTCCTTATCAACATGTACAGGTGCGTCCTTTATTTACTTGTCTTGAAGTATTTTGTCGTCCTTTCTCTCTTTTCGTGGTGCCGCCTTGCAGGTTTTCTCCCAATTTTCTGGCCTTGGGTTACAGGGCTAAGTCGCCTCTGGACGCATGACCAACATTCGATTGACTTGCACCCTTTCAATTCCCTCTTTTCTTTGGCCGAAACAAATTTGCTGACCCCGCAGCACCAGCGTGGGAAAGTCGGTCATGGCCAAGATTGGCGCTTACTCTGCCGAACTGGGACCGCAGATTCAAGAGGTGATGATGCCTGTGATGGAGAGCAACGTCGAGTTCTACCAGGAGCAGGAGAGGCGGGCGAAGAGGGGGGAGCTGAACGATCTCCCCGAAACGATCAAACTACCCCCTCAGAGCCAGAAGCTCAAGGACGGGGTCTACATGGGGAACGGCCTGTCCAACGCTCAAAGGGAGGAAATGTAGGACTTCTTCCCCGTCAGAAACGAGTGTCAAAATCTTGGATGGGCCAGACATGTAAGGACCCCACGAAAAGACGCGTAGATGGGCCGGGAACGAAGAGATCGTGGAGGGGGGTCGGTCAAGAGGGCAGTTGTGGGGGGCCTTCAATCCAGGGTCCCGGATGAAGGGAGAAAGCAGGACGATAGACGACGCGAGAGTGGGTTAAGAGTACGAGCGCAGCTTGCTTGGATACCTCGCCTTCCATTTCTTGTCCCACTCCCTTGTGGAAATCAGGGGAAGGCTTTGCATGTGCGTGGGAAGAGGTGTGAGGCGGGAGGAGCGGACTCGTCCCTGTGGCTGGACACAGGGGTACCGGGCAAGCTTGGGGGGCTCTCCTGCGCCTCGCCCGGTCGTGAAGGGGGTGGGATTTTAGTAGGAAAATGTACTCAAACATGATGGAGACGTGCTGGGCCAATGCAATGCGTAACGTAATCAGGAAAAAAAGTAACGAACCCCTCGACCGAGAAAGCCTTGGCATAAGGGCCATCTTGTCGGCGATGCATACCCGGAGATCGGCACATTGGTGCTTCCTTTGGCTTCATTCTTCGTGTTGTGGTTCAACCCTTTCCCACGGCGGGCGAGGGAAAAAGAACAGTGCAGGCAAGGCTGAGATCCTCTCCCCGGGAAGGTCTCCTGAGAAAAGCAACACGGGTGTCTCTATCCTCTTTCCACGTCCAACAGCCTCCTCGAGGCCTGCAATCCTCGTCTTCCCTCCCCGCTTCGCGTCTCCTCCGCCCTGACAAACACACACGCACCCTGAACCCTCTCCATACACAGGCAGTCTCCCCCTCCCCCCTCCTTCCCTTCCCCCTACGCATCTACGACGCTGCTCAGAACGCCCCTTGGCCGTCACCGAAGGGGGAGATGTGGCCCGAGAGCAGCTGCTCCACTGGCCCCTGGCCAGTCACGTATTCCTGGGCGGCCAAGCCCGCCGTGGCCAACATGGCCAACCGCCCGTTCTTCAGCTCCTTCAGCTGCAGCTCCGCGAGCTCCTCAGGGTCTTCGGGCTTCAAGCCAAGGGGGTCAAAGGTCAGGTCTCCCGGGGCCGTGTACTTCTGGATGGAGGCACCGAGCACTTCCAGGGCGGCGATGGCGATGGCGATCTGCACGGCGGCCAGCGGGCGTTCGCTTGAGACCTTGAGCAGGGCGTCGATGGGCTTGGAGGCCTCGAAGGGCCCGTCGGGAAGGTGGTACAGCCCCTGGACGAGGTACCCGACCGAGGCCAGCATGCACACACGCCCGTGCTTGAGTTCGGCCGCGCGGTACCAGCCCAGCGTTTCCTCGTCCTTGTTCTTGGCCAGGCCCAGGGGGTCGAATTCCGGCACCTCCACGTCGGAGCCCACGATGCCCGAGATGTCCATGGAGACACGGCCTTGAGTGCGGCGGAAGGAGGAGGAGGAGGGAAGGGAGGCGGGGGCGAGGAAGGCGGAGGCGGTGGCCAGGGTGGCGATGAGGGCAGCAGCGACGCGCATGGTGCTCTGTATGAAGAGAGGAAGTAGGCTGTGTGACATGTGGGAAGGTGGGGGCGGAGATGGGTACGTGAGGCCGTGCACGTTGCATTGACATCGATAAAGCCCCTATTTGCGCAAAGTAAACTCGATCAAGAGAAAAAATGGCTGCGGCCATACGGGCGACCTAATGGATCTCGTGAACAGACTAGGGTGACTTGAGGGAACGAGACGGTACGGCACCATGCGATACGAAAGATGAGACAAGTCCAAGAGGCTCGTAGGAGACACATGATTGTATCGCTGCGTCACAATCGTTCGCGATGGAGTCTGGACAAAAGTGAGATAGGTGCAGAGGACGGCTCTCGACTCCTCAACGACCCGTCGAGGGCAGGTCGCACAGGTTGGGATAGGAGGTCATTTACGCACGCTCATCTACCACTCCCTCTGAAGTCACAGAGGCCTCTCCTCCCGCATAGTAACGGCCACTACTCCCGATGATATTTGTATCGAAATCATCCAAGCATTCCAAAGAGGAGCAAGCGCTGTCCGCCGGCGAGGAGGGCAGCAAGGATTCGTCTTCCACTGCTGCCGGGGCCCGAAAGCGACGACCGTGGGCTCGAAGGCTTGCCTCAACGGCGAGAAGATGTGAGTTCAAACACATTATAGCAAAAATGCTCCAGTTGCGCCGCTTCACGTTTTTATTTCCGGGGTGGTCAGGTTTTGTTCACGCGTCGACATGCACCACTCCTGGTTTGGTCTTGGACAACGTGATAAGGAAGGCTAAGGGAAAAGATCCGTGTTCAAGCTGATGACGTGCTTCGCAATGAGTCGAGGAGACCGTTCCGAGCCATTCGTGGTATGAAAGGAATGAGCGCTCTTGTGCGTTGATTAAACTCGTGTTTTGGGGTCCTTTGTGTTGGTAATATTCATGGGAGCTCATGGTGAGTGATGGCGAAATTTATGCCCACCAGATCGTTGGTGTGACTTGAGAGCCTCGGCGCTCAGAATAAACTTCGTGCACACTCTAAATAATCGCACGGATCGTAAATCGCACGAAAGTATCGCCGTCATTCTCTTCATCACTTCTTATTTTTGAAAATTCTTTTATTCATCTTCTCTACTTTTCATGCTTGCTGCCTCTCCGTAGCGGGCTATCGCGAGGGCTTATGTTTTGTCGACTTTGCCTTCTGCCTTGTCAAATGTCCCCCATTGGCGCAACACTTCAAAGACCACTACCGGCGCGGCACTCGCCACGTTCAGACTATTTTTTTGTCCAAATGTGGGAATTTCTATGATCCCTCCGTCACACTCCTCGAGGACAGCTGTGTCTACCCCTATTACCTCATTGCCTGTCCCAAAACATACGAAAAGGGATTAGCTCGGAGTACCGCGACGATGACAGGAAAAAGATGGGCATAGTGAACGAAATGGGTCGCTGATAAACCAAACATGCCAAGGAAAAAAGACGAAATCCCTACCTAGAACCAAGGCTGCTTTCTCCGGGAAGGCAACATGGGTGTAGCACTGGGACCGGCTCGTTGTTTCCATGGCAAAGACGACGAAACCTTCCTCCTTCATTGTCCTGACCGCGTCCAAGGTGGTGGAAAAATGGCGCGAAGGGACGTTTTCCAAAGACCGGCAGGCTGTCTTCTTCAGCTTCTCGTGGGGTGGGTGGGGGGTGAACCCGCAAGTGATCAACTCTTGAAGTAAGGCAGTCTCGGCCGTGCGGAATAGCGAGCCCACGTTGTAGGCGCTCCGGACGTTGTCGAGGATGAGGACGAGGGGGTGCATGGATCGAGGGAAGGACTGGAGGCGGGACATGGCCTCGTCGTGGTTCCTGGGCAAGGATGGGAGAAGGGGCAGGCAGGCGCCGAAAGAGAAGGGAGGGGAGAGTGAAGGGGAGGCGGGCGTGGAGACCAACCAAGAACCCCTTAATCAGGCCATTGAAAGGAATCCCCCCTTTTCCCCTCCCCCCACCTCAAGAACTCCGCCTGCTCGGCCCGGTAGGCTCGGACTAGGAAGGCGATCTGGTTGGCTGCGCGGAGTGCGGCGGCCTCCAGGGCATTGTCAACGGGGGCGTGCTGTACGTTGATCTTGGCACTTTGGCATTAGTCTGTAGGATGGCAG